GAACTCCCAAGCCATATAATCACCGGCTCCAAGACACACAGAGAAAATAAATGTCAGCCAAGCAATTTCTGACCCCACAGGGTTCAATAGGGTCCTCCCACTCAGACTTATAAACAGCACAGGAGTACCTTAGCAATGGCTGTGTGTGTGCATGGGTCACTCATGACACTGGACTCTCTGAACACAGATGGGTTGATTATTTGAACTGAGCAGATGACAACTTTCCCCTTCTAAACCAGAGCTTCCCAAAAGGCAGCTCAGCTCAGGCAGAGGGGGCAGGATGGGTGCTCAGTGCCAGCCTTCGTAGCCAAGAGGCAGCCAGACTCCCCCAGAAACGGGCCCTTCCCTTTTGTTCACTGTGTGGGTGGTGGCTGAACGGACTGAAAAGCCAGGGACAACTGAGAAGTGCTCCCTCCTTCTTGGCATCAACTTCAAAGGGCCCCCAAACCAGATGTCATGTCTGGAGCCAGCACATTTGGCCAAGTGTAGGAGTCCAACCAGATCATTAGCTTTGCACAGTACCCCCCAAAACAAACCCACCCCTTCAGCTTTCTTTGGACTCAGGTGACAGACACTTGTGAGGAAGAAGTTTGCTGGAGACTTCATGAAGGCAGTGCCTGCTGGGCCTGGCTGGAGAGAACAAGGACCATTCCACCTGCTGGAAAGTCTTCAGTCAGGGCCCTGCCGGTGCCCTTGGCACTGCTGGGGTTTGGGATGCATTTTGGTGTCAGAAGTGGGACCAGCAGCTCGGACCACCGAGCCATCACTTTTGCGTTTTCACACATAAAATCCTGATTGTGTTTCCTTGATTTTTCTTCTTTAAAAAAAAAAGGCAGTTCAGAAGATTTACATCATAATGGGGAAGTGAATAAATACCAGCACTTATGGTTCTTATAAATTTATGTTTTGAAGACAGCATAGCACTCAAGAGGAATTCGACTGTTAAGGTCGGTGAAACCTAAGGAAACAAATAATTACATCAAGACCAAGGGGCTGCCAAAGGTGCAGGATTCAACAGTCCAATCTCCCATCCTCAGGGAGTTTCTTGACCGTGAGAGGGAGGGGTGAGCTTCCCACCATCATCCCCACAGGAGCGCCACTGAACACACACCTGGTTTTGAAATAGTTTCATCAGGGGCAGCCCTGGTGGCCTCCACCTCCTGCCATCAGCCTGGATCCAGCAGCAAGGTGCAGAACCCAGTCTGTGTCTCTGAGTCTCTAGACTAAATACTTGCTATGTCCTATTTCTCTAAATGTTCCCCTCAAAAGAAAGTCAGAATTAAATCAATAGCACTATTGCTAACTAGCAATGCAACCTTATATAAGTCTCTTAATCACTCCGTGCCTCAGTTTCCCCAAATATCATCATCATGCTGGACTGTCAGGGAGAATGTCAGGGAATAACAGAAGTGGTCCACTTTGGAAGTCCCACATGGACTTGGTATTTTGTTCAGGTTTGGCCTCTGCTGACTGGTTGCAAATTGGCAACAATCTTTTCTCCTTGACTTGAGTTTTCACGAAAACTCACCTTGGAGTTGTTGGTAGTCCGGTGCTTATCAGACCTTTAGTTTAAATGAGTGAACCTCAGACTTTGCAGAAAGTTGCTTTTAGCCCAGGCCATCTGTGTTCTGCTTCCTCATTTCAGTAACCTAAAGTGGAACTGCATGCCTACCTTCCTATTATCTTCCCTCCCACGGCACCCACCAACCCATTCGTAACCCACAAGTGGGAGAGTTTCATTTGGAGATAAATATTGCAACTTGAAGGAAAAAAAAAAACCCTCAATACTAACCTTGTTAAGTGTCTACTCAATTCATGAACTTCCATCTCAGTGCTTTTGAATTCATTGAGCTCCTTTCGGATGGCAGCCTGGAATCAACAGAAGCCCATCAATGTGCAATGGGAGACAGTCAGAAAAAACTCCCCTTTCAGTTCATTCCTAACAACATATTTTTCTTCTTCAACAAAGACAAACAGGTTTAAGATGAATTCTTTCATTGGGAGGAAGAAAAATCACCTGAGATGTCCTTTAAAACAAAGATTCCCCTCCTTCCCTAAATATAAGTTGCAAATGATGACAGGCTATTGCCCGAAGTGTGTTTTTTCTTCTTCTTTTCACAGAACTGTGGCATTGAGGCATCAGTGGTGGTGTACGCCTACCCCACACTCCTGGGGGCCCAAGAACACATTCAATGTCAACCTCGCATCTTCCGTAAATAAACAGAGCTCAGCACAGGCACACTGATGCCTCGAGGTGGAGACCTCAGAAGGCATGGATCAAATTCTCCAACCAAATTAGGGGGAAAGGTGATGGCCAGCTCCCTACCAACCCTTTGCTTTTGCTCTTTTACAACTTGCCTGACTCTTCAGTGATGTATTTCACCATGTAAGATATGTTTTGAATAACCTCACATGTTCTGAGATGATCCCAAATCACCCCATCTTTACAATACTGCCACTGAGGAGGCAGGGCCTGGAATCAGACAGCAAAGAGAGGCCATGAGAGAGCAGGGGAGGAGGAGGGGCTGGTAGAGAAGGCAGCTGGGGCCGGAGACCACCTCACTCCTTCCTCAAGGGTGGAAATCGCAAACGCGTGCCTTCTTGCATAGCTCTGTCTATGGCCAATACCTGCTTTGATGGGAATATCAAGGCCCCAGGAGTTTGAGAACAGAAAAGTCTTCATGTAGGATTAGAATGGCCCTCCCCAGGAAAAGAAGGCTGGCTTAGGTTTAAGTGCCTGGGGAGCAGCTGTGGGGCGGGGGCAGAGGTCACCCCGTGCTTCCTGTTTTTTGTCCCCAACAGCCATTGAGAAACTGGATATGTTTTCGGCCTAAGAGCTACTCAGAACTCTATGAGGGTGCAAGTAGAGACGTCTGTGGTTTCCTTGCACACTTGCGAATATCCTTATCCTTGCAAGCATACCACAGTGAGAGTGTGGACAGGAGAGGACAAGAGCGAAAGCCCCTTCCTCTTCGTATTTAGATGACACACTCCTGGGGAGCTGGGTTTGTCTGTCTGGGGCATGGCAGTGCCAGTTCCTGGGTTGCTCTCACAAATTCCCTTGCAGGGAAGATGTGAATGCTGTGTTGACAGAGGAGGGCATAGTCTTCCACACATTGTGTCTGTGGGTTGACCCGCCACAGGCGAGGTCGTCTCTGGAAGTCTATCTGCCTCTGGCTGCTTCAGTCCCACCCGAGTGCGGCAATGTGCCTGCATCCATGTTTCCTGCAACTCCTGGATCCAGGGTTGGTGATAATGTAGCCAGCCTGGGCCGTAGATGACTTCCTGCTGAATCATATAAGAAAACCCCAGGTCCCTGAAACGGACAGAGTGAAGGCAGGACTGTTGAGCACACTCCATAGTTTCTATCGTCACCTACACATTGGGCAGAATCATTATTCCAGACTCTCTCTCT